GCTGTCCTGCCTCACATGCCAGAGCCAAGACCAGCAAACCCCAGCTGTCAGGGCAAGGAAGTGGGCAAGGGGGCAGCGAGCTGCTGGTGTCTGTGCCTTGACTCAGAGATAAATAGGTGACCTGACAGTGGCCAGCTTTTGCCTCTCACCTTTCTGACAGTGAAATGGAGTTGAGCTCCAGATCTGACCAGCGTACGGTAAAAGGTCTCCCTTTAAACACAAGGAGCAGCTGTTTTATTTCATTGGTTTATAGGCGCCTCCTCTGAGGCCAAGAATTAGAAACTCATCCCGGCGTGGGGAGCGGATTTTTCCCTCCTCCCCCAGCTCCTCCACACGCGAAGCAGCCAGCCATATTCCATGGGGGCACCATGACTTGTCAGCCTCTGGATGTGGAATTTTGGGAGCCCAGGCAACGGTTGCCTGGATACCAGTAGTGTGACTGTTGGAAATGATCTGAGAGGGCTGGGAGGGCCGGAGCAGGCGTTTAAGAGTCAGACAAAAAGAAAGCAGGATGCGAACCCCAGAGCAGACAGGTCTGGCAGGCGTGCCTCTGCCACCAGACAGTTCCTTTTTGCTCTTATCAGGAAGGTGCCAAGTGACTGCTGGCTGACCGTCAAAAAAAAAAAAAAAGACTGAAAATGTGTCTGGTTGTTTGTCTGTCTTCATTTCCATTTTGTAAAACCCTCTTTGGGGTCCAGCCATCTGATGTCACTTCTTTTTCACATTGGTTCCCAGTTAGTTAAGGCCTCCAAACCTGTCTCCCCTTCTCTCCTCCCCAGGATGTCCTCGGCTGTGTCTGTGTGAACCCCGGGCGCCTTACTAAAGGGCAGGTGGGAGGCACCTTCGCCCGACTCTACCTCAGGAGGCCAGCGGTGGACGGAGTGGAGAGGCAGAGTCCGTGCGTTGCTGCGCAGGTCGTCAGGATCTGAGGCTTCTGTCCTCTGCTGTGTGGGCCCTTAAAGTCTTAGCCAAGAGCCAAGACATAGCCCTGTGACAAGGTGAACAGTTGGGTAGGAAAGGAGAGAGGAGCCAGCCAGGGAGGGGCAGCTGCAGGGACCAGGCCCAGCAGGGAAGGCTCGTGCAGCCGGGCCTGCCTGTGAGTGGAGCCTCTCCTGGAAGGAGGCTGTTGCCTCTCAGTCCATGCTCCAGGTACAGAAGTAAGCCAGCTGTGGATCCCGCCCACTCAGAAAAGGCGAGAAGGCTTTGTGATTTTCTGCATGAATCAAACGCAGAAACAACTTTTGGAGAAATTAAATTCTGAGTGTGACTTCTGAGTTTGACCTTTCTTCTATTTTCTTTATCCTGGTAGTAGACAGAGAATGTTGCCTATTTGACCTATGACCAGAGAAAGCAGAGTGTCAGTCACACTGGGTTTCTGTCCAGCCCTAGTCTTGTCCAGTGGGTAACTCTCAGCCCCACCCCTCATCCCCCAAAGGCCCCAGCGACCTCTATGCTGCAGAGGTGCACTGGGCGGGCCCTAGAGCTGGGCTGCAGAGCAAGCAGCTGGCCACATGCCTGGGCCTCCCTGCGCGGTTCCTCACATGCATGCTGTGGTCCCAGCCTGACCTCTCCATCTGGAGGGGGTGGCCTCGCCGGGCTGTTCCAAAGCTGGAGTCCTGGTGGCAGCTGCTTTGCCAAGTCACGCAGTGGCCAGGGCTTGCCTGCAGCCCAGAACACTCAGACAGGGTCAGGCCTTCCAAGGTTCACAGCAC